TCAAAAACCGATGCACAGAATTATGTATCTTAGTGTAGTCTACTTGTGTGCCAAGTTATAATGAAATTGGACCAAAACTGTAGGAGGAGTAGCATTTTGAAAGAATTTCAAAGAAATTTCTATTTTTAGTAACCACGGCAACACCGTTTATCGAAATCAAAAACCGATGCACAGAATTATGTATCTTAGTGTAGTCTACTTGTGTGCCAAGTTATACTGAAATCACATCAAATCTGTAGGAGGAGTAGCATTTTGAAAGAATTTCAAAGAAATTTCTATTTTTAGTAACCACGGCAACACCGTTCATCGAAATCAAAAACCGATGCACAGAATTATGTATTTTAGTGTAGTCTACTTGTGTGCCAAGTTATAATGAAATTGGACCAAAACTGTAGGAGGAGTAGCATTTTGAAAGAATTTCAAAGAAATTTCTATTTTTAGTAACCACGGCAACACCGTTCATTGAAATCAAAAACCGATATACAGAACTGTGTATCTTAGTGTAGTCTACTTTTGTGCCAAGTTATAATGAAATCACATCAAATCTGTAGGAGGAGTAGCATTTTGAAAGAATTTCAAAGAAATTTCTATTTTTAGTAACCACGGCAACACCGTTCATCGAAATCAAAAACCGATGCACAGAATTATGTATCTTAGTGTAGTCTACTTGTGTGCCAAGTTATAATGAAATTGGACGAAAACTGTAGGACGAGTAGTATTTTGAAAGAATTTCAAAGAAATTTCTATTTTTAGTAACCACGGCAACACCGTTCATCGAAATCAAAAACCGATGCACAGAATTATGTATCTTAGTGTAGTCTACTTTTGTGCCAAGTTATATTGAAATCAGACCAAAACTGTAGGAGGAGTAGCATTTTGAAAGAATTTCATAGAAATTTCTATTTTTAGTAACCACGGCAACACCGTTCATCGAAATCAAAAACCGATGCACAAAATTATGTATCTTAGTGTAGTCTACTTTTGTGCCAAGTTATATTGAAATCGGACCAAAACTGTAGGAGGAGTAGCATTTTGAAAAATTGTTTACAGACAGACAGACAGACGGACAGACAGACAGACGGACGGACGACGGACGCATTACTATCGCATAAGCTCTTCTGGTCTCTGACCAGTAGAGCTAAAAATACCCCCATGCCACAACACCGGCTTTCACCTTGCCCTTCGGAAATGATACAAATGACGTCACCGGAAACTTACGAATTTTGACGAAGTAATGTCGGTTGCTTCCGTGAAACTCGGAAAACATGTTGCGGTGCATAGTGACATGGTGGCTAAAACATAGCAACAATTTACTTGAAAAGAACGATTTAATGCAATCTCTTTTCCATAAAACTAGCGTTTGCGTCCTAAGTCAACAGAACTTTTTATCTGACTTCATACTTTCGTTACTTCAACGGTTCAGGTATTTCCGATTTTGTCGGAAACTTCCGAGAAGTTTGGAATTTCGATCCCGATGCTTGGGAAATGATTTCTTTTTATTGTTTTGTTTTATTCTTTTTTCTTTCTTTTTCTTGAATGATAGACAGTACATGTGTAAGTTTATGATAGTAAATAAACTGCGCTCGCCCCAACGGTCACACCGTAAAACATATTATTTTAAATCTTGAAACGCTATCGGACAATTTCGATGTGTACCTGTATTGCCAGAGTATGGGGCAACATGAAAAACATATTAAATGAACAGATTCATATAGATTTTATTTCTAAGAATAAAGATACTAACCCATAAAATTGGTAATGTTATAAAGGGAAAACATTGTCTTGCGCCGGCTGAACCGAGATTGACCCCGCATAGGGAAATAACTTTTGTAAATATGAAAGTCGTCTATGTTTAAAATAAACTGTGACTCAGCGAATGATATCGATGATCATGATGTGTGACAGTTACAGACTTACATTTAAACTCATAAAACCAATGGTATTCTGTCTTAGAATTTTAATTGTATCACATGTATGCTAGTAAATAGTAATTTGATTCATTATGGGAATATTTGGGAAACCTGCAGTTTTTTTTTGGTTTTGAAATTACTCTTAATATAGTAAATGAAGCATATGTCACTCAAACAAACACAATTCAACATTAAAATTAAGGTACCATAAGTACACATTAAAATCGAACATGATGAGTTCTTATTAAACATAATATGTTAACCACCCCACACCCCCTTCCACTTCTCCCGGGCACCTATATTTAGTGTTACCATGCCCAATATATTGAAACACGCCTATTTCGAATCAACTGTTATTGATTTTAATAGCTCTTTTGAACAAGTGCAAAAGTCGTATATGGAAATAATGATTTAATTACATACAACTATCCTTTACACTTACCTTCAAAATTCTGGATACCAAAGCTATGGGCCTAATTTACTAAACACTAAAACAGACCAAACGGATTTATCGTCCTTCTTGTTATTTCGGATAAAAACGGGAAATAGCTATACATACACAATCCGGATATCTCCGGAATACAAAGAGTGTCACTGTGCCACCTTATGTTCTAATTCGTTTCACTCAAACGAACATAAATTATTGACAATAATAACAACACACTTGTTTAGGAAGAGAAGCGCTAATCTGCCATTTATTACACGTACAATATACATAATAATTCCGTGAATTTCATCACTTCTTTCTGAAATAAAGAAAAAACACATTACTCTCATTAGACTTATAACTTTATATAGAAAACCATATGCATTAACTTAAACAGTTCTTGTCATACTTCATACACATGCCCTGAAAATTAAACCTTAAATTAACACTTAGGGTGGGTGTGGGTGGGGTGGGGTGGGGGTGTAACGTTGGCGAAGAAAAGCCTTCGAATGAGTAAAATTCGTGCTTAACTTGAATACCTATTCAACAGGTATTGTTAAAAATAGAAACCAATGGCTATAGACTTTTAATATAGAACCATAACAAATGACACGTGTTTTTGTACATACGATAAATAAATGTAATCAAAGATTGTTTTTGAAAGGGGGAGGGGCAGAGAAAAAAATCTGAAGAAAAAAACTGAAAAGCAAAATTTACAAGAGGCCCATGGGCCACATCGGTCACCTGAGCACTTGGGCTAGTTAAAAAACACAAATCAGCTCGATCAGTATTGAAAAGTATACTTGTTGGGGGAGAGGGATTTAAATTTTCTATTACTTGAGAATGTCACTTTGTAATTTTGCCATACTTGAAAAGAAGATTTTTAAAGATTTTTCCAACATATTAATTGATCTCCCATTGTGACCCCTAGCTTGTCCCCCTTCTCCCCGCCCCCGGGACATTATTTGAGTAAATTTAAAACTTCACTACTTGCAGGTGCTTACATGTCAATTTGACTAAACAAAACTTATCTGTTTTGGAGGGGATTTTTCCCTATATATTCTTATGCAAAAATTTGATTCCTCATTGTGGCCCCGCCCTACCCTGTGGGTCAAGATTGAAACAAACTTGAATCTACACTACCTGAGAATGCTTCCAGATAAGTTTCATCTTTCCTGGCCAATGGTTTTGGAGAAGGAGATTTTTAAAAGATTTTCCCAACGTATTCCTATGTAAAACTTTGATCAGCCATTGTGGCCCCGCCCTACCCCCCGGGGGTCATGATTTGAACAAACTTGAATCTACACTACCTGAGAATGCTTCCAGATAAGTTTCATCTTTCCTGGCCAATGGTTCTTGAGAAGAAGATTTTTAAAAGATACCATTCACTTTTCATTAATTCACAATTATCTCCCCTTGGAAGAGGGCTTGGCCCTTTATTTGAACAAACTTGAATTCCATACACCCAAAGATACTTTGTGACAAGGTTGGTTGAAATTGGCCCAGTGGTTCTTGAGAAGAAGATAAAAATGTGAAAAGTTTACGACAACGACGCCAATAACGACGACGACAGACAACGGACAAATTTTGATCAGAAAAGCTCACTTGAGCCTTTGGCTCAGGTGAGCTAAAAAAAGATACTGTCAGATGCTCCCGTATATCAGCTTGTTGCCGAGGTTCAAGTTTCTCAAATGCAAGTTAAAACTACAATGTCTAAAGTACATTAGATCAAAAGGTCAAAATTGTTGGTACCCAAAGTAAGGCCTTAATTGTCACAAGAAAAATACATGTGAAATTTGATGGTCTTAGTAAGTACGTACTAATGTTCAAAAGCAAAAGTTATGATTAAGGCTAAAGTTTTCTAAAAGTGAGTCAAACTCTTCTCAAATGCAAGTCAAACTCGAAAGTCAAGGTAAAAAATATTTAGAATGGTCTTGTCAACATGAATGATTAACATGTGGAATATGAAAGCCCCACCAAGAACTAATCAAAAATAATGGCCATTAAGTTTAAAGTAATATAATTTTTTGCAAAAGTTGCTCGATCCCCATGGTCAAGGTCAAAAACGTTGGTATCCAAAGGAAGGTCATGTCACAAGGAATATACATGTGAAATATAATACTAGTAGCCATAGCTCCCACTATTTCAAAGTTATGGGCAAGGTTAAAGTTTTTGCAGACAAATGGAGCAAAATCTATATAACCCCGAATCTTCGATTACGGGAGCATAAAAAAGGGAAATTGTCCAAAGTCGAGAATCCTATTTCGGGGATGGGGTTGGGTTAGGTTGATTCAAACTTCTTACAGTACCAAATGCTTTTACTCAAGCATTCTCCATTCTATTTATTTGAGGAGTATTCCTCGTGAAAAGACCTTTCTTTGGGTACCACCAAATTTGACTTCGTCATTTTGATCTTGGTGTTTGACCAATTTTAACTCCCCCCCCCCCAAAAAAAAAAAAAAATCCGAACTTTAACCTTGGACATTAAAGTAACTGTAACCTTAATGTACACTTTTAAAAAATAATTACATAATCTAATAATTTATAGCTGATGCATCCTGTCCTAAGTGTGAATACCATGTCCTATTTGTATATATTTTTTATTTCAGCTTATTCTCTGTAGAAATTATTTTGTATCCTATTTGTATATATTTTTTATTTCAGCTTATTAGATAAGTGTATGGTCATTCAGGTGTAACAGACAGTGCTACCCTGTTATTTGCCTTTAGGGATATAATTAAGGTCCTGGCCATAAGTTCTATAAGTCATTTGTTTCTATTGGGTTTTAGTTTTGTGTTCTTGTGTTTTATTGGTTTGTCAAATTCCCTCCAAAGTGTTCTTGGTCTTTCTGGTCATTCTTTGTCCAGATTGTTTGTAGAGAGGTGCTATTTATTTTGGTTTGACAAATTTGACATTCTGACTGAGACTCTCTTCATCTTCTGGTAAGTTAATATTTATTTACTAACTTTAACATATCTTTAATATATAGTTCATTAAATGTGAAATCTGTAATTTCTGCAATATTAATTTCCATAGCACTTTTGCACAGTAAGAGAGATTTTGGAAGTCAGATTTTTACTTAGTTATTAGCAGCAAAGTTAAAGGTATTTTTATGATCCAGATAATATGTACATATGTTTTTATGATCAGAGAATTATATAAGGTTTATGATAATTTATAGTTATCATCTGGACTCCCAGCCATATACTGTAGTTGTGTGATAAACCATATGGGAGCTTGCCTATTCCCTCAGAATGGTATGCTATTGTTTTTATGATTTATTGTTTATAAGAAAAAGGTACATAATGTCTATGAAGATATTATAGCTTTAATAGTAATATATATTTTGTTGTAAAGTATTTTAATTATATGCACAAAGTGTAAATTCTAAGGGAGTATTATATTATATGTCAAGATGTGTAATGAATGTAAAAGTTACCTCCCTTTATGCAGCATTGTGTATAATATTGAATTGTGCATTAATGATTTTATGATTTTACTCAATATTGTTATTATTTATTTCAGGGCAATAGTGAATATATTTATATCTACAACCATTAATAAACAGTGTGTCGAACCCTGACAGGTGTTTTCGTTATTACGATTCCATAACCCTGTTACAAATTTGGCGCCCACGTTGGGACCCTTGGGATAGACAGTGCAGCGAGACCCTCGGGACAGACAGTGAAGACCTCTCTGCAACAACCAGCAGCCTGTAGCCATTTCTGATAACCACAGTGAACAGTCTGCCTGACCAGTGCCCGTCCCATAGTGTATGTAGTATTCATGGATGGACGGACTGTGATGTGATGTGTGATGTACGCGTACCATATGTTACGATGATGTAGTGACAGTGTCGAGAGTGACTGTAATACCGGTACATATCCGTCGAGATCACCTCTGCGGGGTACATATCCGTCAAGACCACCTTTGGACAATTTGGTGACTCATTATTCATTCTTTGTGTTATTTGTATTTTGTGCTTTGTGTTTTGTGCCATATATGGTGTGTATTTTCTACAAGTGAATTTATCAGCTGATTGGTGAGTGTTACTGTTAGAATTGTTTACCTGTATACTTAGAGCTCTATAATTATTTTTTTTCTTTTCTTTTCTTTGCTTGCAAGCCTATTGTATTTTTGACATTTACATATTTATTGGGTACCCTTGGTATTGAAAATTTTTGATTGATTTTAGTTTTAAGTGTAAAGGTTAGTTTTAAACGTTTGACAGCTGAGTGCCAGATTGGTAAGTGAGGTATCACAAATTCACATATCCAGAGATCCAGGTACCCTTGAATTACTAAAATGTAAGTAAATTAATTAATAATTCTATCTCTTTTGACAGTGACTTTTTGACAAATATATATTACAGACATTTCAGTTGAATTAGTAGATTCAGTTTTCTTGGTAAAGTGTTAGTATTTGTGTGCAGGTGAATTATATCCTTTGGTTCTAAGTTGTGCAGTTTTCAGAGTTGTTGGAGGGTTGATTTAAATAAGTTTTATTATTACATTTGCTTGTTTTATTGATTAGTGTAGTGCTCACCTTATACTTCATTGATTTTCATTTATTTAATACTTATTTACATCGGGTTCGTCCCGCAATTTGATCGAGATCGGTTTCTTTTTCCGATTGCGCATTTCCGATCGAGCTCGAAATCCGCGTAATTTATTTTGACCGGAAGTAAGTTTAGACAACGTGATTTGGTAAACAAATATTGAAATTTGCCTTATTTTCCCAGTGTTTGTTGTTCATTATTCATTTAAAGTCATTTGAAGTACAGCTACAAAGGTATTGAAAGTCATTATCTCTTTCAGGTAATTATTTGTCGTCAACTTTTCTTTATTTCAGCTTTTGAATTTCAGTCAGCTGATTTTTGATTTCATTCAGTAGAACATATCATTATTCATTCGTTGAAATATCTAGTACTCAATTGAAATATATCTTGAGTTTATTTGAAAAGCATTCATAGTCATACATATTTACTAGGAAACTACCTATCAGCAATATTCATTCGTTTTAAATATTTGAAACAAGCCCATTTTATCAGTTTATAGTTCTGTCATGAACTCCCACCTGTAAATAATACTTTGTTATTTGTTACTCCCCCATGATTAGTTCATGCTGAACTACCCTCCTATTCTGATTATATTTTTGTTTATTTCATCATTAACGTACAACATGCCGAAATCCGAAGGAGATGCAAGTAAAACAGATACTTCACCTGAGACAGAAGCTGATAAAGGAGCTACGGCTAGCGAAGTATCAGAGAAAGAGTGGAAAAATCTGTATGCCACATTAGAGAAAATGAAGATAAAACCAGACAGCTTCACATCATGGTTAGCTTCACAGGAAGATCAGCCACAGGCTAAGAAGGAACTGAAATTTCCTACCACACAAGCACCAACATTGCCACCACCGTTACCTACCGGCTCTTACTATAAAGCACCTTTGAGGATCTCAGTGTTTTCTGGTGATGAAAAGGACTCATATGAACTGTGGAAGTATGAGGTTGTTTGTCTCATGAAAGAGTCTCATTCTGAGGAGTCCATTCTTCAAGCCATCAGACGTTCCGTCAAAGGGGAAGCAGCCAAAGTCATCATGAGATTAGGTGTAGGTGTAAGTGTGCAAGAAATCCTGTGTAAGTTGGACAGTATTTATGGAAACGTGTTAGAGAAAGAGGATATTTTGGCTGAATTTTACAGCGCAAAACAGAAGGATGATGAGACTTGTTCCGCATGGAGTTGCCGTCTTGAGGATATTTTATGCAAGGCGATGAAGATGGGTAAAGTTCAGAATAGTGCAGCAAATGAGATGCTTCGCACTATGTTTTACAAAGGACTCAGACACGATTTGAAAGATATTTGCGGACACCTGTACCATTCAATCAACGACTTCGACAAGCTACGGGTGGAAATCAGGAAAATCGAGACTGAACATCCAGCCCAAGGAAAAGTAAAGTCAAAGCCAGCAATTGCAAAAGCAGGAGTATCTCAGCCTGAGACAACAAGCACTTTGGATAGTAAGTTTGAAGCCCTGCAGGCTCAAATTAATCAGCTGAGAACGACACAAGAATCCTACTACAATCCCCCCTCTTATGGATCTAGAAACTTCAGAGGAAAACAACCCTATCAGAGAGGAAGAAGACAATTCTCAGGTCGTGGTAGAGTTTATACTCCCAGAATGCCTGAACCAAGAGTCTCTGATGTTGATCAAGGACAACAGATGCCTCGGAGGAGCGGTAGTGTTGTATGTTACAAATGTGGTCAGGAGGGCCACATCGCAGTTGGTTGTCGAGTAAGGGTAGACCACAGGAGGAATTTAAACTACAGATGGCCGAATCCTGGGGACAAGGGTCTGGCCGACAACACCGTGGTCCCACCAGCTCGCAAATAGTAGGGACAGCCAATGAAGTACAAGTGGCTATAAATGGAATATCATGTTTGGCATTACTCGATACTGGTGCAACTGTTTCTACAATATCCCAGTCATTTTATACCACACATCTGCAGGGAACAACAGAGTTGCATCCATTAGATGAGCAGATAGACATTGAGTGTGCAGATGGGCAGTTGATGCCTTACATGGGATTTGTTATAGTAGACTTAGCCACTTATGGACTTTCATCTATTGATGTTTTGAAACAGTGCTTATTTTTGGTTGTTCCTGATAGCAAGTACAATTCACGAGTACCAGTACTTTTAGGTACCAATCTACTTGATAACCTGATGAAGATTACAAAGTCAGAGTATGGTACCAGATTTCTACAGAAAGCGGACATACACACTCCTTGGTATTTGACGTTCAGATGTCTTACCTTGAGGAACAGACAACTAGAGAGAAACAGAAACAGATTAGCATTACTGAAGTCAGCTGAGTCATCTAGAATCCTTATTCCACCGAACGGAAAGGTATTGATAAATGCCTACATGGATAAGAAGATTCCATATCAGAGAGTGCTGACAATGATTCATGCTACTTCAGGTTCCTGCATCCCTTCAGATCTGGATATTACTCCTAGTCTACATTATTATGATTTTGAGAATGCCACTCATGTACCCGTTGAAGTCAACAACGTAACAACCCGGACAGTATCTGTTGTACCTAAGGCGCTGTTATGTGAGATGCAGCCAGTTACATTAGTAGATCTACCATCTACCAGCTCAGATGCACCATGTAGATTGGACACTATTTTGGAGAAGATCAACTTATCTGATACTTTGTCTGAAGAAGAGAGACAGAGCTGCCAAAGGATCATAAGTGAGTATCAAGATGTTTTCTCCACAGGATCTACAGACATTGGTACAACGAATGAAGTATTCCATCATATTGAACTATCCGATTCGACACCATTCAAACAGCGTTATAGGCGTATACCACCTGCCATGATAGAAGAAGTGAGAACACACATTAAGGAGTTGCTTGCTAGTGGAGTGATAAGACCTTCCCACTCACCATTCTCATCTAACGTTGTATTAGTAAGGAAGCATGATGGTACATTGAGAATGTGTGTTGACTACCGGCAACTAAACTCACGGACAGTCAGGGATAACTATGCGTTACCACGGGTTGATGAGATCCTGGATTCCCTGTCTGGTAATCGGTTCTTCACTGTCCTTGACATGAAATCTGGGTATCACCAGATAGAGATTTTAGAGGAGCACAAACAAAGGACAGCCTTTACAGTTGGTCCGCTAGGCTTTTTCGAGTTCAACAAAATGCCCTTTGGACTTGCTAATGCTCCGACGACCTATCAGAGACTACAAGAGCAGTGCGTTGGGGATCTTCATTTACAAATTTGTTATATCTATCTTGATGATGTTATAATTTTTTCCAGGACAATTGAGGAACACCTTGACCGCCTCAGACTTGTTTTTGATAGGTTTAGGAAGTTCGGACTGAAGCTGTCTCCTAAGAAGTGTCATTTCATGATGAAAAGGGTCAAGTATATTGGACATATCATTTCAGAGGACGGGGTGCAGGCCGACCCAGAAAAGGTAAGTAAAGTTCTAAACTGGCCCAAACCTAAGACTCCCGAAGAGGTTAGACAATTTCTTGGATTTTCAGGATACTACAGGAAATTCATACATGACTTCTCTAAGATTGCGCGTCCCTTAATCGACATTATGGCCACTGGTAAGAAGTCAAGAGGAAAAAAGGCACCTCCATCAAGTTGGCATTGGGGACCAGATCAAGATGCTGCATTCAACAGACTCAAGGAATGTCTAACAGCAGCCCCAGTTCTAGGATATCCTGATTTTAAGAAGCCCTTCGAACTTCACACAGATGCTAGCCTCAGTGGACTCGGAGCTGTGTTATATCAGGATCAAGACGGAACAAAGAGAGTCATTGCCTATGCCAGTAGGGGTCTGACAAAGTCGGAGAGGAATTATCCCATTCATAAGCTGGAGTTCCTTGCTCTTAAATGGGCAGTTACAGAGAAATTTTCGGACTACTTGACTGGAACCCAATTCTCTGTATTTACCGACAACAATCCCCTCACTTACGTGCTGACTACGGCCAAGTTAGACGCCACTGGACACAGATGGATAGCTGCATTATCCTCGTATAACTTCAGTATCACCTATAAACCAGGTAAGTCAAACATAGATGCTGATATTTTGTCTAGGTTACCAGCACAGACAGAGACGCTTGATGCTGAAGCTGTTCGAGCCATTACAGACACAGGAGAAAAGCAGCCTTATATCCAGACACTCCCTGTTTCACCTGCTGTTTGCCAACAGTTGCAGATACCTATAATAGATGACAATGGCAGTCATATTGATCTGAAACAGATCCAGAAGGAAGATCCATACATTGCATCTGTCATAGACTATGTTAGAGAAGGAAAGAGACCTCCAAGAAACTCAGCAAGGTGTGAAGCAGAGGCAATTCTACACCAGAATTATAAGAAGCTGAAGTTAGACGAAGGCATACTTGTAAGAGAAACACAGAGAGAGGGTACTACTCAGAAGCAGTTTGTTGTGCCATGTAAATACAGTGAAGTGATACTGCAACATTTACATAACAACATGGGCCACCCTGGAAGGGACAAGACAACATCATTGGTTCGAGAAAGATTCTACTGGCCGAGAATGTATGCAGATATTTCCAAGTGGATAGACGAATGTGGGAGATGCATTAAGTTTAAGACACCAGACAATCAGAAGGCATCTTTGGTCAACATTGTAACAACAGAGCCACTAGAGTTAGTCTGTATGGATTACATGACCTTAGAGCCATCCAAAGGAAACATACAGAATATCCTAGTGATGACAGACCATTTTACGAAGTTTACCATCGCCGTACCCACTAGGAACCAAACAGCAAAGACAACCGCTGATGCCATCTACAATGAATTTATTGTCCACTATGGAATACCACAGAAACTACATTCTGACCAAGGAGCAAACTTCTGTAGCAGCATCATAAAAGAACTGTGTCAAACATTTGGAATTTCTAAATCTAGGACCACACCCTATCATCCTATGGGTAACGGAATTACTGAAAGGTTTAACCGAACACTCATCTCTATGTTAGGAACTTTAGACCCAGAGCAAAAACATAACTGGAAGAAATACATCTATCCATTAGTTCAGGCCTACAACTCAACTATTCATGATTCTACAGGATACTCACCATATTTCCTTATGTTCGGCAGAGACCCCATTTTACCCATAGATCTCATATTTGGAATTGACAGAAATCAACCTTCAAAATCAACTTCTTCTTATATACAGAAACTGCAGAAGAATCTCCAAAATGCGTACCAACAAGCCCAAACTGCCCTCAAGAATTCACAAGGAAGACAGAAGTTATATTATGACACCAAAGTAAGAGGAAGTACTCTAAAAGAAGGAGATCGAGTTTTGATCAAGGTTGTAAAATTTGAGGGTAAACACAAGATTCAGGACAGATGGGAAGATCAACCATATATAATTGTAGGGCAACCTAACAACTCAGTTCCTGTCTTTAAGGTGAAGAGAGAAGATGACCAAGGACGGACAAGGATTTTACACAGAAACCTCTTATTACCTATTGGGTCCAAGCTCGCTTCACCTGTTCCAGCACCTAGGCGTAAACGTCCAGGGAAGCATAGACAAGACAGAGACACAGAGACAACACAGAATCAAAGTGATACAGAGGACCTAGACAGTGAGTATTGTTTCAGCACAGTAAATCACACAGTGCCATTGCAACATACACCCGCTGTAGATCAAGGTCAGAATGTTCCCACTGTTACTGGTGACGATCAGGAAGGTGAGGAGCACCTGGAGGATGGATCAGGGGAGGACGCTTCCAGTCAGAATATTGATGCATCTGATGATCCAGAGTCCAGCGCAGTTGATGATGCACATGACGAGAGCGCAGTCAATGACTGATGACGCACATGACCAGAACGCAGTCCATGATGCTGATGACGCACATGATGAGAGTGCAGCAGATGATTCAGATGATGATCTGAATACTACAAGTGTAAACAGTCCTGAACTTGAAGAAGATGATAACGACGAAGACGACGAAGAAGAAATGCCCAGAAGATCAGGTAGATTACGGAAGAAACCAGGTTGGATGGGTGATTTTATTTGCAAACAACAGGTTTTAGATTGGACGAAGAAGGCAGAATGTTTTAAAGAAATGGCGTCTGAATTGAAAGGTATGGACGAAGAGATGTCGAAGGTATTTTTGAAAATGATTACAGAGAAATTTTAATTTGTACTATATTCTGATTTTAAAGATTATTTTTCAGCAGTTATCGAGGTAAGCCTCCTTTAAATGACGTGGAAGTCATTTCAAAAGGAGGGGGAGTATGTAAGAGTGATGATTTATTAATTAATTTCTAATTAATTAATAAATATCAAATTATTTTTTGTATCCTATTTGTATATATTTTTTATTTCAGCTTATTAGATAAGTGTATGGTCATTCAGGTGTAACAGACAGTGCTACCCTGTTATTTGCCTTTAGGGATATAATTAAGGTCCTGGCCATAAGTTCTATAAGTCATTTGTTTCTATTGGGTTTTAGTTTTGTGTTCTTGTGTTTTATTGGTTTGTCAAATTCCCTCCAAAGTGTTCTTGGTCTTTCTGGTCATTCTTTGTCCAGATTGTTTGTAGAGAGGTGCTATTTATTTTGGTTGTGACAAATTTGACTTGACATTCTGACTGTGACTCTCTTCATCTTCTGGTAAGTTAATATTTATTTACTAACTTTAACATATCTTTAATATATAGTTCATTAAATGTGAAATCTGTAATTTCTGCAATATTAATTTCCATAGCACTTTTGCACAGTAAGAGAGATTTTGGAAGTCAGATTTTTACTTAGTTATTAGCAGTAAAGTTAAAGGTATTTTTATGATCCAGATAATATGTACATATGTTTTTATGATCAGAGAATTATATAAGGTTTATGATAATTTATAGTTATCATCTGGACTCCCAGCCATATACTGTAGTTGTGTGATAAACCATATGGGAGCTTGCCTATTCCCTCAGAATGGTATGCTATTGTTTTTATGATTTATTGTTTATAAGAAAAAGGTACATAATGTCTATGAAGATATTATAGCTTTAATAGTAATATATATTTTGTTGTAAAGTATTTTAATTATATGCACAAAGTGTAAATTCTAAGGGAGTATTATATTATATGTCAAGATGTGTAATGAATGTAAAAGTTACCTCCCTTTATGCAGCATTGTGTATAATATTGAATTGTGCATTAATGATTTTATGATTTTACTCAATATTGTTATTATTTATTTCAGGGCAATAGTGAATATATTTATATCTACAACCATAAACAGTGTGTCGAACCCTGACAGGTGTTTTCGTTATTACGATTCCATAACCCTGTTTGAAGTCTCACAAGAATCCGATATTATATTATTATTTTTTTTGGAAGGGGGGATATCGTTACAGAAGTTAAGCATTACGGTTGGAAGTTAGTTTCCAGGAATAGAAATTGAATTTTTTGGCATTAAATAAAATTATGATATCGTTTGTTTTAAGAGAGCCGACTGGGGTTTTATAGTCTGAATTCTAAAACAGAGAAACTCTTTAAGAATGTAAAATTTACACATTTTGAAAAAAAAAACAAACTCTGCAATATTCGATAGTAAACATGGCAAAATCTTGGAAAAGTATTTATTTATTTAAAAAAAAAATTATTTTCTAATATTTTGCAAAAATGATGAGAACGCCTGTCTCTCTCTCTCTCTCTTTCCCTCTTTTTCTTTTTTGTCTGTCTGTCTTTTTTTCTTTTGAAAAATGATGTGGACGTTTGTGCGTACAAACGTACGCCTGGCTATGCGCCTGCGCAACCCTTCTTCACTTTAATCAAACTCATTGAGCAAGTCATTGATCATCTTCCATCCCTTCTATCATCCAACCCAAAGCCCTGTGGCGACAGGCGAGCAATGAAAGTGACAGGTGCGGGTACACGTATACTGGAAGTCGCTAGTCGCGGATCTGCACACAGGCGGCACAGGCTATAGGGTCGCTCTTCACCAACCGGAGCAGCGTTGGAGTTCGGCAGGCACCTGTGCGACTGAGCAGCCCTTAAGGAACGCACTGCTCACCTCCATGACAAGAGGAGCGGATTAGAAAAGGTATCCCAAACATTGCCTGCTCTACACTTCCCTAGCCAGTTTACCGCGGCTAGTGGGGACCCTACACACGCGATCGAAATAACAAAGAGAACAAAAAGAAAACAAGGATCATCCCACTGTACCTTGGATTGTGGAACGTTCGCACCTTCTCGAAAGAGACACTACAGACAGGCCCCAGAGACGCACAGCACTGATCGCAAGCGAACTTGCGAGATATAACATTGACATCGCGGCTCTCAGTGAAATCAGGTTGGTTGGAGAAGGTGAACTTTGTGAAAGAGGCGCTGGTTACACCTTCTTTTGGAGTGGACGAGGAGCCGAGGAGAGACGAGAAGCTGGCGTAGGCTTTGCTATAAAGATGACACTTGCTGGCAAGCTAGTCGGCGTACCAAAAGGAATGAATGACCGCCTGATGACGATGAGACTCCCCCTCACTCGAGGAAAGTTCGCCACTATTGTCAGCGCATACGCTCCTACCCTGACTAACCCAGGGGAGACTAAAAACAAGTTCTATGAGGACCTCCACAATGTCATCAACGCCGTTCTTAACACCGACAAGCTCATCATTCTTGGTGACTTTAATGCGAGAGCTGGACGTGACACCACCACCTGGGACGGGGTGATTGGGAAGCACGGAATGGACAAGTGCAACAGTGCAACTGCTGCTTCTCCAGACCTGCGCTGAACATGGCCTTCTCATCACAAACACCTTTTTCTGCCTTTCCACCCGTAACAAGACGTCATGGATGCACCCTCCATCAAAGCACTGGTATCTCATTGACTACGTCATCGTCAGGAAGCGAGACAGACATGACGTTCGTGTTACCAAGGCTATGGGCGGCGCGGAGTGCTGGCCAGATCGCCGTCTCATCGTCTCTAAACTCAACTTCCGGATCAAACAAAAGATACGTCCTCAAGAGACCAAGGCTCCAAAAAGTCTCAACATTGGCAAGCTCAAGTTGCCTTCCACATCTCAGTACTTTGCTGACACCCTGGAAGAACGCCTGAACTCCACCGTGCTGGATGACCACGACGTGGAAACAGCATGGAACACACTTCGTAATACAGTATACAATACAGCCTTCGAGTATCTGGGACCCTCCACCAGAAAACACAAAGACTAGTTTGATGAGAACTGTGCCGAGATCACGCAGCTTCTAGAGGACAAGCATAGCGCTTACAAGGCTCATATAGATTATCCCACCTCCACAGCCAAGAAAGACCTCTGAGGAACGCTCGCAGCACAGTACAGCTTAAGCTTCCGGATGTGCAGGACTCCTGGATGAATGCCAAAGCTGACGAGATCCAATGCTACGCCGACTCTCATGACACGAAGAACTTTTACTGTGGACTGAAGGAAGTCTACGGATCAACTCCATCAGTCTCATCCCCTCTCCTCAGTGCTGACAGGTTAACACTCATCACAGAGAATGAAAAGATACTCAACAGGTGGGCGGAGCATTTCAATGGCGTTCTGAACCGCCCCTCTACCATCAACGACGAAGTCATCAACCGACTGCCTCGGGTTCCAATCAACCAGTCATTGGACGCCGTTCCTATGTTGGAAGAGATTCAGAAAGCAATTAGTCTGCTGTCAACTGGCAAAGCACCTGGCGGAGACTCCATCCCAGTTGAGATTTACAAAAAAGGGGGCATGGCTCTAGTCAAAAATCTCCACCATCTGTTTGAGCTCATTTGGTACCAAGAGAAGGTGCCTCAAGACCTCAAGGATACCTCAATCATCCATCTGTACAAGCGAAAGGGAAATAGACAGGCCTGCGACAACCACCGTCTCATTAAACACCTTGAGGATGGTCTCCTGCCCGTGAGTCAGTGCGGCTTCCGGAAGAATCGCGATACAATCGACATGGTGTTCGCAGCACGCCATCTGCAAGAGAAGTGTCAGGAACAGAACTCCGACCTGTACTCAACTTACGTCGATCTGACCAAGGCTTTTGACACTGTCAGCAGAGAAGGCCTTTAACGAATCATGGCGAAGTATGGATGCCCAACAAAATTCATCACCATCGTTCGACAGCTGCACGATGGGACGCAGGCGAGAGTCCAAGACGGCGGCAAATCATCAGAGCCATTCTCTGTCTCCACTGGAGTGAAGCAGGGCTACGTCCTCGCCATGACGCTCTTTAGTTTGATGTTTTCCGCCATGCTGAATGATGCCTTCGATGGCACGGACCTAGAATTGGCATCAAATGGTGCTTTGATGGCTCAGTCTTCAACCCCAGACGTCTATAAGCGAAGTCCAAGGTTCAATTGGACACCATCAACGACCTCCTGTTTGCTGATGAATCTGCCCTCAACTCTACCTCCGAGGTAAATATGCAGCACAGCGTTGACAAGTTCTCTGATGCCTGCGACAACTTTGGCCTGACTATCAGCACAAAGAACACCGAAATCATGCACCAGTCAGCACCAAGCGAACCGTATGTTGAGCCCAACATCACCATCAACAACCAACAGCTAAATGTTGTGGACAAGTTCACGTATGTTGTATTGTACTGTTGTATTCATAATTGTACTATCCATGTATAGAGGGCCCCGAGGAAGACTAGTGCTTGCACTAATCGGGTTACCCTCTTTAAATAAAGTATTATTATTATTATTATTATTACCCCGGTAGCACTCTGTCCAGGAACGTTGTGATCGATGACGAGGTAAACGCTAGACTGGCAATGGCGAGCGTTGCTTTCGGCAGACTGTACAAGAACGTATGGGACAGAAGAGGCATCACAACAGAGACAAAAACTAGAGGTACTGTGAGCAATGAGCTCACTAAATGATACCCCCCGCCTCCCATAATGTCCATGTGTTGCTATATATTGTTTCACGGTAATGTGTAAACTCGTCCTATCAAATGTTATCCAGAAGCTTCTATATGTGACGTCATAGGTAAACATATAATGGCAATGTCCGTGTTTTGCTATGGGAAACTTAAAATACGTGTCAAATAAAAAAGTAAAATAGGAGGTGCACAATGGCAATATGTAATAAAGATTCTGTGAAAGTTTCATTAAATTTCACTCAGTAGTATAAGAGGAGTTGCGATTAATGGAGATAAAGCGTAACAGACGGACGGACGTACAGACGGACGGAAATACTGATTACTATATACCCCCACTTTTCAAGCGGGGGGGGGGGGTATAATAATTAAGGTCTACCGTGCAGTGGTTCTCACCACACTGCTGTATGGCTGTGAAGCGTGGACTGTCTACCAGAGGCACGCCAAAAAGCTGAACCAGTTCCACTCGTCAAGCCTTCGAAAGCTTCTCAGTATGAAGTGGCAAGAAAAGATATACCCGACACAGAAGTCCCCGAGCTCATCCGAGCTGGCTTGCCCAGCATCTACATCGTGCTCATGCAGTCACAACTCCGCTGGGCGGGACACATAGTCCGTATGCCGAACCATCGACTCCCCAAAGAAACTACTCTTTGGTGAACTACTGGAAGGAAAGTGTGTCCGTGGTGCCCCGAAAAAGCGATTCAACGACACCCTAAAGGCCTCCCTCAAGGCATTCAGAATCAACCCTGACTCCTGGGAAGTTGCAGCACAAGACAGGTGTGGGTCGAGAGCCGCAGCAAAACAACGCAGGCAGGTCAGGAAAGACAGCGCTAAGGACCCGGCAGTTGCCACCATCCCCTGCCCTCACTGTCCGAGACTATTCCTTGCGAGGATCGGCCCGGCCAGTCACCTCCGCACCCACCGTCCAGGTCAACCCCCTCCCCCACGAAGATGAGACAGTGGTCATCGCCGCCACCGACGGACGAACAACACAACACATTTGAAATGAGAATGTTCTCAGTGTATGACCTCCTACTGAATACAGCTTTACTGACTATCGATTCTGTAACTCCAGTCCAATTACAATTCCGTATCTGTCAATGTCAGATTTATATTTTCCCATGAGTGAATCCAACATTTACAAAGACAACTTCAGAATCTTCTCCGTAAAAAAAGACCATAACAAACTTATAATGGAATGAAATAAAATTACACATGTGTATAAGCATTAATCTTCCTCAATAATTTTTTTGGTTTTTGTATATAAACTAGCTTACAGCAAAATGTTCTTCATATTTCATAGCTAGGTCCATCATTCCGATATTTATGATAATTCATATTCTTTACTCAATAGTTCCCAATTCCACTGAAAGAAAAAAGGAAAGATTTGTTTATTGATTGTTAACTGATTTTGATATACTGTAAAATCACATATTTTCGTGGGGTCAAAGTTTCGAGGTTCGAGGATATAATTTTGGTTTATGGGGACTTGATTTCGTGGATGAAGATGTTTTAGAAGTAATGTATATTGAATTTTACATTTCGTGGTGGTCATAAATTCGTGGGTCTCTTTTTGCCTCGAAAACAACGAAAAATAAACCCCATGAAAATTAGTGATTTCACATAGAAAATTATGAAGCCCATTGGGCTCATTTTACAAGGTAAAATATAACAAAAAATTGCGTTATGGTGCATAACTTTTGTGAATAAACGCGAAAGTTAAATGCGTTAAGCAGTAATTTCAGAAAAAAAACAACAAAGTATGCTTTTCGAAAGAAAAAAAATTAAACATGCAGCAGCACAGTGTACGCAAATTTGATTATTGAATGCTTAAGAATGTGCTTAAATTTGTTACTTTTCTTCATCATTAAAGAGCTCAAGAGGTAAAATTTTCACTCAAACCTATAAATATGCTACTGTACAGTACACTCTTGTTAAGTTAATACTCGTGCAACCAGACTTAACCTATATACACGCTATACTTGGATGGTTCTTAATTCAGATGTACATGCATATCATATCTATATGTACATGTGCAGCTCCGTGTATTTTTAAAGCTCACATTGTTTTTCGCATGCAGTTGGAAACGTGGGATAAGTCCTTTAAGGTCACATTTTTCTTGTTATAAAATTTCATATTAATTTATCAAATTTCAATATGACGCATTGCTTTGAGATGTATTACATATCTCAATTCAAGGGCACATGTCAATTAAATTAATACCTCTAGTTTACAAACTTTGCAAAAAATAAAATAAAATCTGTAATTATATTGGGGGATGATAATTTTCTTTTTTATAAAACATCAAAAATAATTTTTTCGAATCGGTAATTTCTAAAACTGTACATTTGTTACCAAAAAAAATTTAAATGCACAAATATAGAGATGTATGTCTTCGTCTTTGGTTATATAACGTAAATAAATCTGTATCGATTTCAGCCATTAAGTACATTTAGAGCCATTGAACTTCACTGACTCATCCAATGATTCGCACATTCACATGTTGGTAGACAAATCTCAACATCTGTTGGATCACCAAGGATACCTTTTCTTCCTTATACAATGTGGCCAGTCCGTCAGCCTGTCAGTTCTATACTTCCCTTTCTGTGCTATAATAAACTGCGTTTGAAGTTAAAGGTATGTATATATTTTAAAAGTTTAAGGACAGACGATACGTTCCTAAATAGTGTATACAGTGTAATTTTTTCTGAGATTTTGTCATTTAAGTAATCGTACTTTAACTTGTTTATTCGCAATAGCTTACCAGGCATTTGTGCAAGATACCAGATGATGGTGTTTCTTATACATTACAATTCTTTTGAAAAAAATCTTAAATTGCCCACATAAAAAATAATAGCATTAATTTGTTTTATTTTTTAAAGACAATTATAGAAACCTGTTTAAAAATCGTAGGGTATTGACAATGTTACACATTTTTAATACATTACGAAAATTTATAAAAACAGATATCTGAGGAACGTCTTGTCTGACCTCAAATTATAAATTAATAATAACAATAATATTTATGTTTATGTGAAACGTCCATTATAACCCCAAACAATTGCCTGTAACTATTGCACGTAATTTTTATCATCCATCACGTGCTATTTGCCAAAGTCTGGGCAACAACCTTAATGTTCTAACTATGTAAAATGATTTAAGAAATAAAAGAAGAAAACATGGATCAATAATAATTAATGCTAATAATGTCTTCTCTTTTTTTCTTGAGAAGGGAATGTGTCACACTGACATGGAAACTCTTGGATTTTGATTCAACGCATTCTCCAGAAAACATGCTGGCTCTAACATGTATTCAAAGCCGGGAGAAAATGTGACCACCACTCCCTTCTATCCTCAGCCAGACAATTCACTTCCGATTCACACTCGAGATACCTACCTACTGATTGCGACATTTGTTTCTGTCCTCATCATCATGGGAATCGTGATTGCGTTTATTAACCGGAAGTGTCGTGATTCTATATCCAGAGCGAGGTTTCGTCTGCTCCATCTACGACACCACGATGTCTTGACGACAGGTCATCGGAGGAGGGCCAGGCATCGTAGAACTAGTACAAAATCCATGACGCATCACATACACAGCTTACATGACCCATACAGTCCCGTGTACAGCAAAGAGGTAAACGCCCCTGTGTCTTTTTTCACAGAGAAAAGAACAGTTCCAAAACAACTTGAAAGAAAAGTGTGCTCATCTGACACCTTGTACGAGTCTGGAAGCTGCAGTAGCGGCGCAGAGTTGGATTCTGGTATATCTGTGATTTCCAGTAAAACAGAGATCCCAACATGTTCAATGCCAGAATGTCGCTCTACATTTGACAAAGCAAACAAGAAAAAGAGCGCCAGCAAGCCAGAACTATGTCTAGCGCCCGATGTTAAGTTGGTCAGGGTTCTTATGCCGGAGACTTTAGAAAAAGGAAGTAACGAAATTCCAATTGCCGTGGATAAAAGCTTCATTTACCATCAGCATAGGAGATGGGCAAAGAAGGGAACTATTGGTAAACCTAAACGTTATTCTGTGTATCTGAACAATTTGGATAGTAACAGAAATAATAGGATATTGCGTGCTAGGTTATCTAAATACGAAGTGGGTGATTTCACAGTTCACAGAACAGGAAGTCCAGAAAGGAGACATTTAGATGAAATTGATCATCAGTCATCATTCGATGTGA